TGATTTCCATTTAAATTTGATGGTGCAGTGTGGTTTCCAAGGTAGAATTCACAATTTGAGGGAGGAAAATTAAGCTGTGCAAGTGGTAGGTCTCTCCCAGACAGTGTGACCTCAGATACATGACTCAGCCTCTGTGTGCCTACGATTCTCCCATCTGTAAAAGTGAAAATGTGACCTCACTTATTCTGGGGCTCCAAATAACATTTGTAATGCTCTTTGAATTTGTCAGAAAGAAAGACCCATTACCCATGGAAGTCTACGTCCCCAAAGAGCTTTACAAATGATCCTATTAAATCAGTCACCTGGAAATACCAAGATGTGTCAGGTACGGCATTTATTTACCTGTTTATTGTCCACCAGAGTGTTTCCACTTGATTGGCATATGGATAATTGTCTAATTGGAACACACTCAGTTGTAACCACCAAAGAATGTAATAGTGCATCTGTTGAATGCCATACTCTCAAATGTTAAATTAAAATTATGCTGCAGTCAGCCAATCTAGCCAGGAGACACTTCTGATTAAGTTCTAGCTGCTTGTGAACTTCTATAATTGAGACACGTTGGTACTTAAAAATTCCAGCCAGAAAGAATATTATACAGTCTCATAAATTTCAATGAAAAGGGCCAGAAAGCCTAACTTAAATTATCTGGTTGTGAACTATCTCACCGTTTTTATAGGGCATCTAGACAAATGAAGAATAGCAGTTTTGAATCACCACTGTTTTGAATATGTAAATATTAGATTCACGAGTTTATATTTTGTAAACAAAAGAAAGCATTAATTTTATAGAATGCAAAGAGCAGTCCAAGGATTTTGATTTTATTTTCCCCTCTACTGGTGGTTTTGCTCTCTTTTTGGTGGTTTATGGGAAATAAATTACATATTTATAAACTCATTGATTGGAATTATTTAACCTTTTAAGAAATATTCCTATTCAGATTAAGAAAGAAATCTGAAACTACCAGACTAATGAATCAAAGTGTCTTCAATGGAGCTTTCCTTTGAAAGCTTTATGTCTACAACAATAAATTACCCAGTGATAGAACCTCAAGTAGTCTTTTTTTGTTGTTTGCTAAAACATGATTTAATCCCATAAAGTAGGCAAACCAGAGACATTCATCCATCCCGGCATTCCTTCATTAATTTACCACCTACCTCTGACCTTCCCATTGGTGGATGGGGTCTAGTTGGAGAGAGAGAKAGAAAATGTGACATACCGTAGCAAGTGTTCTGGGAACATAGAAGGTGGATGACTAGCTGTGCTTGGGTGATTGGAGGACATCTTTATTTAGGAAGAGGCCAAGGCTACTGCCTATAATTGTGTAGCTTCTGCCCTGGAYGAGGGTATTGTTCCAGAGGAGTAACCAAGAATGTAACCAAGTTCCTGCTGTAAGGTCTGAGCATGCACCCTGGTGACAGACACGTGTGCCTAGAGGATGGGTTCTTTTCAGCTGCACAAAGAAACCCTGCTCTGACTCAAAGATTGAGTCAGAATCTGCCTGGCAAAATGATTGGTAGTGACTTTTGTCATGGAAGGGACCTGGCATGTCTGGGGAAGAGAAGAATGAAAGTGAGAAGTGCACTGGTTTGGGAGCTAACTGGATTTTTAAGCAATGGGACAATTTAATTCCAGGATGATATGTGGTGAAAGTTAGTGGGACAGGCAACATCCAGAGGAGAAGAGATGTGGTAAATATGACAGCGAGGATGAATGGAGAAAGGGTGGAGGAATAGGCATCCGGCTTTAGAGAGTGATGAACTGGTGACTTAAGGTCCTAACTCTAGATCCCTGGGGAGGAAGTTTGGGGTGGGAAAATGTGCTGACAGCCACAGTTTGGAGCAGTTAAGAGTCTGGTGAGCAGTAAGAGACAGGCAAAGTTATAATGTAGGCTCTGTAAYGCGCCAGCATTTGAGGTCTGTGGCTGAAGCCATGGGCACAAATAGGATCACTGAAAAGAGCATATGACAAGAAGAAAAGGCCCTGCCACGTGAGCTGGCAGTTACAAAAGGCTTCTTGATGCTAGTGAGAACTGTTTAAGTAGAGGACTCGGGATGGAGGTCACCTTGCAGAAGACTGAGGATTAAATGAGCACTCAAGGAAACAGAGGTTCTCATCCCTACTACCACATTAGCATTTTCTGGGAAGGTTTTAGAAAAACAATCAATGCCTTCATCCTACCTTTAGATATTTAGAGTTAATTGGTCTTCTGTGGGGCCCAGAAATCAGTATTTAAAAAAGAAAAGAAAAGAAAAGAAAACTTCCTAGATAATATTAGTGGATTGACAGAATCAAGAACCTCTGGACTTGACTATTCTTTAAGAAGTATAAATAAAAACCCCAAAGCTTGCAAGCACGTGATAAGATGCTTATAATCACAGGGGATCAGAGAAGAATAGAATTTTTGTTTTAAAGGTGAAGAATCTGTATATTCTAATGTTGGCAGAAATGGAAAATCTGAACAAGGYTTTCTTGTAGCTGTGGTGTACCCCAGCTCTCAAGAGAATACTGGTGGGTAACGGCACTGCTGCAGCTGCTCTGTGGGGCAGTGTGGATATGTGACCTCCTTAGGGCAGCCCTGTGACCCAGCAGTTTCACTGCTGGATGTGTCTCAGGAAAATTCTCCCACAGGACTTAAAGGAACACACACCAGCATGTTCCAAGAYAGCCAGTGTAAAGTAGGGAGAATTGGAGATAGCCTGAGTATCCTTCCCTAGGACAGTGGATTCAGTAAAATTGGGCCATTGTACCCCTTAGAATATACTATGCAGCCATTAGAAAGAATAGATCAGATCTATAGAATGTTAACATGGATGGATCCTAAAAACATCATGCTTACTAATATCAYAGTAAACAATAAAGAAATATGGTAAACCCTTAAAAATACATGCAAAACAGCCATGTATATATAAATAAGAAAAATATACTCAAATAAAAACCTAGACATTATAAACCATTAAAGTGATTTCTTACACATGAGTGATGATGTGTTATTTGAAAAGTATGATTCCCAGACGTAACTTTCCTCTGTTCATATGTGAATACATGACCAGTGAAGCTCCACCTCATGTACAACCACAAGAATGGGATCCTAATTAAAGTAAGTTATACTCCATGTGTGTATAATATGTCAGAATACACTCTACTGTCATGTATATCTAAAAAGAACAAATAAAAAAATGTAAATTAAAAAAAAAAGTACCCTGGAGAAAGGCCATGTGAGCACACAGAGAAGGTCACCAAGCGGGAAGCCTTCACCAGAAACCTACCCAGGGTGATCTGGAACTTCTGGCCTCTAGAACCATGAGAAAGGAAGTCTCTGTTATTTAAGCGACTCAGCCTGTGATGTTTCCTTCTATTAACCCAAACTGACTAATACCGTCTAACTGTTCAAAAAAATAAAAGTGTGATTCGAAGAGGAATGAGACAGGATGGAAGCTAAAACAGGAAGTGGGGAAGGGAAAGGAGTGTATGTTTTAACAGTGCGAAGAGTTGTGAATGGGTGGATGAAATGGAAGACTCCAGGGGATTTATTTCCAAGTAGTATTCCTTTCTTTGTCTTGTCCCCCACCTTAAGCTCATTGTTTGTTCCTCATTACTAAAGTAGTATTTGCTCATTACAGATATGTCAGGAAACTGACAGCAAAACTAAAAGAAAGATCCAAAAACCTACTCACCCAGAGACAGAGTCAGGGATCCTTTTTTATGAACAGTTGCCAAATTAAATGGAAGCCTTTTGGTAAATGGAAGTATGTGAGCTGCCTCGTGAGTGTGGAGTTTGTGCAGCTTCATTTTTAATGTCTTCCTGGTGTTCTGTTGTGCAGGCCCAGGGACAGAAATGTGGTGAGCCCCCCATCACTAGACATCATCAGTTTCTAAATTTTGCCACCTCAAGTGCTGCCGTGAGCAAACTTAAGCAATGCCTACCTTTAAAGACAATTTATTGTCCTTCATTTCCCTCGTTTTGAAAGGAAGATTAAAKATGGGATTTTAAAATTCCTACCAAAAAGTAAAAATTAATTCTGCATCACCTAAAGTCAGAGCACCGACCCTCTTGGGACTCTTCTGGGGGTCAGTGGTGAATGAGAATGAAGGAACAAGGTCATCCCCCACTGGGYAGACACAGTCATAGGTGCTTGTCCCTGTGCCAAGGGCCCCCTAGTTGCTGTACTTTAATCTCTGATGCATAAATTAAATTACACAGACACTTAGGAGATCTACTGTGGGTGGTATGATCGCCTCATGTGATGGTGGTATGGATAGGTGGTAGGACGGGAGGTACTGAGCTTTGGGAGATTATATGGAAATAACTGTTTATGACAAAGGAACCAAAGTATGTTATTGAATCTATATGCAGTACCCAAGTTACAAACAACGCCAACAAGCCCCAAGGAAAGCACAGTGTRTATTTTGAGCACTTGCTCTCCCACAAGTTCCCCAAACCCAGTAGTTTTGAAGATTAAATGTAATCCTTCCAGTTGGTGGGCTTATGCACAAGAAATCYGGTGCCAGTGTTTCTTCAGACTCTTATAGTTAGGAACTGGTCAGGCCACTCTGCAGCCAGCTTGTCAAGGCCCTGAAGAAATAGCCTGGATGTGGGAGACAGGTCCCTGGAAAACAGGAATACACCAACACTTTCACATCATCCATGCAGCATTTGTTATGTATGGCAGCAGGAAAAGAGCTCTCCTGTCTTTTTAAATAGGTCCTTTGTTGTCTGGAAACTCTGAACAGACAGAGCTGTTTCCAGGGGCTGTTTTGAAGCTCCAGCCTATGTGTATTTTAACATAGAACCATATCCCAAAGAGTCAGTGCAGGGCAGCGCTGAGCTTTTGGCAGACAGGGCAAGCCTCCGCATGAGTTACAGTTGATAGGGCAAGGAGAGCTCAAGGCTTACAAAAATCCCTTCTGCGGCCTGCTTAAAAATAGCAGTGTAGGCCATAGCTTAGTGTTTTGACAGCTTATATCAGCAGTTTTCTTGCCTGATATATTGATTGCAGTTTGGACTTCAGTCCTGCTGATCTAATAAAACATCACCATCATAACASAGAAAGTAAAAGGATCTTTGGTCCCTGCCACTTGGTAAAGTATCTCTACAAAGCTACTGTGAACCTAGCTGTATTGTTTTATGTAAAATGAAATAAAATTGGACCAGTTGACTGATTACATTTTTATTAATCTTTAGTTTCTTCATCCGTCAGCATGTTGCTTACTAACACTAATCAACATATTTTTACAAATATGCATTTGTTCAAAGAAATTCAATGGTATCCTCACAAATTCTAAAATGAGTTTCATGCATCAGTAACACAAACAGCCTAATAGTGCATCCAAGATGGTGATGCTCCTGACGTTAAGTGGGGGAAATGCATGCACAAAARGGCAACCAGTGTCTGAATGAATATCTAAGGCGTGTATGTACAAGTCTCCTTGTCATTCTGAGGATATTTTTACTATCTTGCATTCACCCAGCCTTCCATCCTAATTATGCTAAATATCCTTTAACTTTACAGCAATTGCTGACCATCCAGGAGGAATTAAACAACAAAAAGTCAGAACTGGAACAAGCAAAGGAAGAGCAGTCCCACACACAAGCTTTACTAAAAGTCCTCCAGGAGCAAGTAAGTGAACGAGAAAACACTCTGATTGACGCATCAAGTCAAATGTGCCTGGTGCAAACACCCTAGCCTGTCACTCACACAAGCATGGCTGAGGTCATCTCTGGAGTAATTAGCCCATACCCTGTCAATCCTACTGGCAGCTTTGCTTTGTGGAATTTGTCATTCTCAACTTCTCTCCTCACCCTGCATTTACTTATATTCACCAAGCCCACCCTCATTGTGTGAATGTTTCTCCCAGAAGACAAGTGAATTTTGATAAATTTTTTCAATGCTGGTAGTGCAGATATATTTCAAAGTAAACAGCTAGCTTCCTCTAAGTCCAATAGTGAGGAAAATGAATTTAGCATAATCCATGATGTTCCTGCAGACTTATAACTAAGAAGGACTGATTCATAGCAACATTAAAAAAAGTCTCTTCCCTGTGTGAATCAGGGCACTTATCTGACCACGACAAGCAACAAACCTTTCATATGATSTGATCATTTCATTCTGGCTTTCCTTGATATGAAAGTGTGGCCTGACATTGATAGGTGGATGGAAAATATCATCTTACAGCAGGGTGAGATGGATCACTCCACAGTCAACAGAGTGAAATCTAAGCCTCACTCTCTGTACTGGAGGAGCCAGGAGAGTCCTCAAGAGGTTTTCTGATTTTCTGGCCTTCACTTGCTGCCAACAATGTAATGATTGGTAATTAGGAGGGAAAAAAAAAATCACAGTAACCTCAACTCTCTGTAGTCAAAATGTAGGTTGTTTTAAATTTTTCATTCACACTTAGTGGTTTATAAGAAGATTATTTTAGAAAATAGGAAGCAGCAAGAGTGTGGCACTAGTCAGCTGGGACTCAGTCACTTAAAAATGATTTTTATTTTTTCAAAAATTTGGGGTATATATTTTTTTTCAAGAAAGCAAAGATATTAATTAGATAGTTTATAAACATTTTATAGCTATGCAAGAAAATATGTTTAAAAAGTAATGGTTATCTTTATTGAATAATAGAGACTCAAYAACTTATACTGAGGCTGAATTGTATGATTTCAGGTATGTTAGATTGAAYTGAAAACTTCAGTCAACTAAATTCACAATGACCTTCTATTTGGGAGACCACAAATCACTGTCCACCCCACCTTGATATAACCCTAGCAAAATTGAGCTGACTTGGTCCAAATTTGCTTCAGGTCAGATAGTCATAACTTTGGGCTTTCATTATTTTCTGCTCTCTCTGCTGATTTTTTTTTTTTAAGACGGCTTTAACTGAGGTGAGGAGAGGTGACTTTCTCTTTTCTCTAAATGACTCAAAGCCTTTATTTTTATTTAAAGTCGAAACTCCAGTTATGAAAATAGATTCTGAGTTGTGCAGAAAGTATCGATATAGTCTTGTTAGGGTATGCATTTTCAAAGAGCAAAGTGCATAGGTAGGCATTRATGGAATATCACATCTCACTTTACATGACTTAAATTTTTAAAAGGAGAATGTTAAGAGAATTCAGAATAACTGAAATCATGCAAGACATAGAAAAATACAACTGAGAAGAAAGTGCTTTTACGTTTACAATATTAATTTAAATGYGAGGGCCCTTTTTAAGCAAGGTCACCAAGAATACCTAAGTCTACGGAGCCAGTGAGACATAGCAGCCAAAGGAATTTGAACAACACCAAGCCATTTGCCTGAGAGCCCCTCGCCTGCTACCCCTGRTCTGCCTTTCAGAAGGTGGCATACAATGTACGTGGAATCTCCCTACAACCAACCAGCCACCTACCCACAGGCTGAAAAATGCACCCCTCACTTCCACCAACATTGCTTTATGAGGTTGGCTTTGGATTTGCGTAAATCCATTATGAGCTTACGTATGGCCTTAACAAATGGGCTCACGCATGCACACCACACACACACACACACACACACACACACACACACAAACACACACTGTATTTTGCTATTCAATACAGCTGCCACTTGCTGGGAATCCTTACCAGAAAGGCAAAGTCTTGAGGGCAGACCCTCCTACTGCTGGCTCTCCACCCATCAGGGAAGTCAGGTCACTCTCCATGCCCTGTACCTTCCTGTATGCTGAAATACAGATTCCTTAGGTCCCTCCAGGCACACAGACTCCTGTCTTTCATCTTCTTGACAATCAAGGGTACATTCTACATCCAATGTTTGTTCATTAACCTAAAATCCATAAGATAAAATGTTCATGTTCCAGCTGAAGAAAGCAGCAGAGTGAGCGATAGCAGTGGACAGARGTAGGGAGAGAGACAGCGGGCGCATCAAAGGGAGGGCAGGTGGAGGATAGCAGGGACTAGGGAGGAAGGAGTTTATTTAAAAGGGAGAAGGAGGCCAACTGGCATTTTTATGCAGGTAAATAAACTTGTAGAAGGTAGAATGGTGGAATGGACTTTGACAAATAGTCATTTACTTCTGCTGCAGAACAGAGCCACCTTCTGAGCAATCCCCACTCCAGCTCATAAAAGCACAAGTTATGGGACCAAATGTGGAATGAGCAGAGGAATGTTAAATAGGAAGATGAGGAAATCTTCAGCTAGAAGAGCTAGTTTTTGTTTATTTGTTTGTTTGTTTTTTAAACCAKGGACTTAACTCATGGCCACTTAACCATTGAGCCACATCCCCAGCCCTTTTAATTTCTTTTTAGTTTGATACTGCTTTTAAACTTGAAATTCTCCTGCCTCAGCATCCCAAGTCACTAAGATTACAGGCATGCACCACCGCACCCAACAAGCAGAGCTAGTTTTTTTGTGTTGTTGTTGTTGTTTTTACTTTATAAAGAAAAGAGCTAGTTTTTTAAGTCCTTTTATGTACTACCTCTAATTTGGTGCACCTTTTCTATTCTTATGTATCAACTGCATTTGTTATGCATAAGAACATCTATGATGTAGACCTAAAGAAGAATGGGCATTTTTTTCCCCTTAAGCCAGTTGATGTGACAGTAAGCCAAAGAGCCTTGGATCATAATCAGCTGCCCCATCCTCAAATTCTGCATGACAAATTTTTCATGTCACTTTGGCAAAACTCCTCTGTCGGCCTGGAGGGCATGTGGCTTTCTTTCTGAGATTAAGATTGCATTTAAAAAAATCTAAAGATGCCTTCATTTTAATACACACAAATMGCCAGAAAGAATCAATGTTCTGAATCAAACACATTGGTAGTGCATGCAAATTTATTTTCTTTCAGATTTTAAGTATTTATTTCCCACCATTAGTAGGTCAGGAGRAAGTGCTGGCAAACTGTTTCAAGGCCAGCTTACCCTTCTTCTTTGCTCTCTGCCTCCAAAGGTCTGCTTTGAGTCAGAATAGGATAAAATGCCAATTACAGGTTTCCTGAAATCTCTTGATAACTGATTACTCTTAAGCCTTCTGAGAGAGAGGAGTATTTCCAAATGTTCACAAGTTRAAAATCTCATTTAAGAAATAGCTTTTCTTTGAATGCTTCAGTGGCCAAAGAGATGTCTTCCCAATTCTTCCTTTACTAAAAGAAGCAAACTGTCTTCTCCAGTTAGGCCTCCAGAGGTGATGTCATTCATTCAAATATGTATGGAGGACATGTACAGTCGCACTGCAGCATGTTCAAATGGCTGAAAAAATCCATCATTCACAAATAATCGTTAGTATAACATCATTTAGCCACTGGCAACTTGCAAACACTGCAGGGTTTAAATTAATAGCAATCCAACTAGGAAATGAAATCATTTATTATTCTTAAGAACCAATTTTATACATTTTATGCCTATGGAACTGCTTTCTAATCTTATTATTTAAAAAATAATGGCCAAGACCCATTTACTTTTTTTGCCAGCCCTCAAGCTTTATAAAATATTGGTCTCAAACTGATTTCTATAAGACTCATTAGAATTATGTGCTCCATCTGTTTCTACTCTTCCATTATACAATGCAACCTCAGATAAATCAGAGTTAATAAGATGATTTATATACTTAACAGTTAGGCTTGCATGTTCATTTTTTTTTTTGTTTTTCTTTAAAAATTGCAGTTAAAAGGTACCAAGGAATTGGTGGAGACCAATGGCCATAGCCATGAGGATGCAAATGTAAGTACCACAAATATGGTATTTGCTCTTTTCACTGGATGTCAGTTGAACCCATAGAGATATGGTCCTTTATTTGTAACATAAAGGAAATCAGAAACTCTGCCTCTCAGTAGCTTAAAAATTATTATGTAGGCTTTGGCAATGAAATCTGGTAGATAGGCACTGGTGTTGTTTGCTTAGTTTACTACATGCCAATTTAAAAGTACTTGAGCTAATCCCCACCATCAAAAATTCCAATCTCTCTGAATTTGTTTGATCCCTTTATATTTCCAAAGCTATAAAGTAATAATGTATTGGGAGGGAAAATGGAATGTGTCCCAATAGGGTAATAAGTTGTATATTGCATGTATAGCTATTAAGTTTGCCTGCCAATGAAGATAGTAATTAAATGATTGACATGCTGAAGAGGTCTCAGAACACCCCACTTCTCCCAGAATAACCCTTGAAATTGTACTTCTCTTCTGTTTCTGATCCAAAACAGTAACAGGATGTATTCATCTTTTTGATAGAACATGAGGTACAATGATGCAAGATCCCAGTTAGCACCACAACTTTCTTCTTTAGTGTTCCCTGAATATCTCATGGCTGGAAAAGAAACTAGTATTCTTCATACCTTAGAAGCTCTTTGGTCTCAGGTGATGGAGAATTATACCTTGCGGATCATTGTCTCTGCATATGCTCGATAGTTTTGTTTATGTCTTTTTTCAGATCTCTCTTGTATCTGTATGTATTTGATTAGTCTTGTCACAGGAAATGCTTACTAAGCAGTTCTTTTCACATAACACAGAATCAGACATGGTGATGAACGCCTGATTAAGCTACAGCTTGGAGAAATTATATATTTCATGTTCTCTCTTGTTTTAATTATATACGGCAGAGAACCCAGTAACCAGAGTGCCAAAAAAATCCCTCTTTGCAAGTGTGTTCATGCCCAATGGATGTGCACAGTAGGATGCTAAGTGAGGATCATTGTGTTCCTGGTCCCCTACTGAGTTCAGGGAGAGGGGCAGGGAGTCCAAAGAGGCATAAAGTGTGTAGTCTGCCCTCAAGAAATTGAAACTCAAGCAAAAGAATCTAGGAACACTTGACAATGTATAGGAGGTAAGGTACCCAAGAAGGTGAGGTAGCTGTGACAGGGTGTGATTTGAATTCCAGATTTTGCTGCTTATTAATTAATTGCATCAGCTTGCCAATTAACCTCTCTGATCTGAGCTCCATTTGCCTCATTTGTAAAAAGAATGACAAAGCTTCTCTTAAAGAACTTGTCATGATATGTAATGAGCTAAGGCCTAMATGAGTGAAAGTCTTAAGGTGTCACGACTGTTTCTTTGTGCTGGATAATCAAGAAAAGCTTCCTGAGTCTGTGGGATCTAGGTTGGCTTGGGCTTCACTGACAAATAGAATGGCARGTGGCACGAACCCTGTTCATAAAGCGCTCCCCACTGACAATGTTGTGGCATCTGTAGAGTTAGCCTTCCTACCGCCACAGTTCTTCACTGCCATAGCCTCTTGCCCTGGAACCCCTCTCTAGTATCCTGTATTCCAGGAACACACTGCCGTCACATTCACAACCAAAACTTTCATATCTATTCCACTCAGAGCCTGTCCCTCTGTGCCTTCCAAGGAAGCTGCTGTCTAACCCAGCAACCCAGTGGCAGTGTGCCTCAGTGTCCTTATCTGTAAAATGGGGATATTTCCTGCCTTCCCTTCCCTAAGGTTTCTTGTGAGGAGCAAATGCAATGACAGACGTGGGAGTGCTTTGTCACTGTGAGCTTCTGAGTACGAAAGCCCTTTCCTGGAGAAATGTTGAAAGTCATCTATTATCAAATAATAAGGGTGGTGGGAAGGGAGTTCATCTTTAAGATCTTAAAAGAAAGTTCCCAGATTTTAATAATACTTCTCTAGGGTCAAAKAAATGACCATCAAGAGGTGGGGTTCTAACTATGGAGAGAGAAGAGTGACCCTTGGCCAAGGGAAGTGACAGAGCCTGACCATCCTAGCCAGTCAGTGTGGGCGTTCCTTCCCCACTGGGCAGAGAACGGAGCTAATTTTTCTGCCTAGATTGTCAAGGGGTTTCCCAGTACGTGGATGAAGCACTTTTTCTTTTCTTTCTTGTCTGTAATTTTGTCTCCTTTTAGAATTTTCCTTAGTACTTCCAAAAGGATTATGTGAGAGCCAAGAAATAATTTTTAAAAATCAGTTATTTGGGTCATGCATCAGAGGCTCTAGCAAAATACTTTGTGAAGACATTTTTTAATGTCTGAAACTAAGTCTCCATTTCATCTGGAGTTTCCACCAGCCCTACTGCGATTGAAAAAAACAAAGCTTTCATACCAGAAGGAGGGTTTGCATCCTGTGTGATCATTGAATAGCCATCTGACCCTTCTGAACTTCACCTTCCTTTTGTGTTAAGGGAACCATGGACATGAACACCTGGCCTGGAGTGTGCACCAACTGGTGTGGATTCCCTCTTCATGCCTCAGTGGTATTTAACATAGCAGGCAGGATGAATTCTAATGCAGCTCATGAGGTTTAAAGCCTCTGGCCCAGAGGCTGTTTACTAAGACATATGGATTTTTTTTACTATAATTATTCACATCTAGAGGCAGGAATTTTACACATTATCATTTATTAATAATAATTAAACAGTGGACTGGTGCCAGCTAAGCTGGGTATTCTTGTGAGAGTTGACAGTTGCTTTTAAAAAAACAGTATATCTTATTTCTTTTTTTTTTTTTCAAAAAAATGTCTATTTGAAGTTTGCATATTTCAGAAAAGAATACAGAGACAAAGAAAAAATAATTTAGTACATCATTATTCAGAGATAACCACTACTCACATCTCATTTTAGGTTTTTCCCTCTGGTCATGGATGTGTACCTGATAGGGAAAATCTATAAACAAATGAATAATTACATGTTATTATATTACCTATTTGAACCTTTTTGATTTCTCATTATATCATAAATATTTTTCTTGCCACCAAAGGTTCCTCAAAGATGTGATTCTTAATGGCTGTACAATGTGAATATGTAATAACAGACCCCTGTGCCTATGTGTTAGGCATTTAAGTTTCCATTTTTTGCTGTTATAAATAATGCTGTAATTAGCATGCCCTTAAATCTTGGTTGCATCTCTTGTATTTGTTTCTGGGGGAATCYGTATCTTAATAGCTATGTTAGTAGTTCTGGCAGAGAGCTTCAGACTTTTGGAATTGCTTGGCCTGTGGAATGGTAGTGTCGTACCTGCACTTTTATGCTATCCACTTTTATGATATTGAAGTGATCCACTAGAAGATGTGGTGAGTCTTGCAGCTTCGACTTTTGCCTTATTCTCCAGTCATGGTGTGTTGCTACTACTTTTCTATTATTTTAACATTTTCCTGAGCACCACTGAATCTTACTGATGCTTGGTCCTRCATTCTTGAGGTCTCAAAAAAGTAAATCAACCTTTAGAAAGCACCCCCTTCCATGTCACAAGACTTTCCATTAGGTCATGCCCAGGAGGAGAGTGTTCTAGAGGGTAATTTAACAGAAACCAAAGGCACCTGCAAAGGCCTTGTTCTCCAAGAGGATTTGTACAGTTCAGACTCAGACTTGCTGATTTTCAGTATTTTTCTTCTTTTTATTTAGAACTGGATATATTAATAACAGATGGTGAGTCCAACCTTTTACACGTACCCACATTTAAAATTAACCCTCAGCACAACTCCTTTAGGCACTTCAGTTAGTCCACACCCCAATTTCTCTTCTAGAAAGCAAAACTGTAAATTTCCTTTTGATCTCTATCTGGAGCTCTCTCCTTATCCCTAGGACCCCCAAATAACTAGACTGGTCCCTGGCAATTATGTATAATAGATATCAAAATCTGAAATTTAAAAAAAAAAAAATCTGCCCTCATCTTGGATCTTTTTTGTCAGCCTTCTTAGCAGCAGCACCATCCATGATTCTAATGTGCATGTTAGGAGATTAAAGGGTTTAAAGGGATGGGGGATGGAAGAAATGTTGCAGCAGGTAGGAGACATGAAAGAAAGGGTCAGCTGAAGCCTTCAGTGTACAGAATCCCTGGGTCTAAAAGGTTTCTATGCGCATCCCTCCTGCACGCTTGTTGCTGGTATAGGAAAGCTGCCACCCCCCATCCCTCATTTGCAGGATTCAGACTCCCACACGGTGGAGAGAGGTGAAGAAATCATTTGCAATCTGTAAAGAGGTTTAATGGGTGACACCCATGGTTTCCACTGTCAAACAGAACACCCTTCCCACTCAACAATAAAACAAAAGCACAAAAGGACAAAGACTTTTCGGTTTTTCACGTGTCTCCTTAAGAACGTAAATCCTCAGAGCTGTCTTTAAATCTGTCAGAGTAAAGGTGTTAAGGRTGTATAGAAGAGATACTGTGTGAGGAACATTCTTCAAGTTTAGCACACCATGGCCAAAAGCTGCCATTAACCATGTATTTTAATGATGGATATGAAGGATCCTCTGTAGGTGCCCTTTGCCCAGTTTCAGAGTGTGGCTTTCATCTTTCAGTCAGGTAAAGCAAGAGATAAGAACACATACTGTGTGTTAAACAAGGAGAGACCAAACACCTCTAATAGGAAGCAGATCCTCATTCTCAAAGGGAGAGAGCAACTCGGGCTCCATTCTTTTTTCCATAACCACTTGCTGCCTAGCCTAAGGGGCCCCAATCTTGAGCTGGAATAATAACAGACTTAACGACAGAGTACCCTACTCCATCCCACCAGCTCCAACAAAGTCCCAGGGAGGACTGACCAGCAGACATCATTCCCTGGGGCCAAATATGCCACAGTCCTTCATCTTCCACTCAGTTCTCTCCTTCTCACCATCTCATGCTGACCCTGCTTGTACAGAACCCTCACTCTGTGTTCCCATGCTGCCTGCCATCCCTCTCTTATTCCTTAAACCCACAGATACTCATGAAGGGAGGTAKAAAAGTGCAGGGGTGAAGCACAGATCTGAGTGCTAAGCAGTTTCAATCCTG